GGTGGCCCCAGAGATCAGTGTGAAAACGATCTTTTTTTCTAAAAACATAAATCCTTACCAATGGGAGGGCAAACAAGTCGTAGGGTAAAAACCTGTGAAGGGCTTTCCGGTGGGCTGTGGGCTCGGACGAGGCGTGCCTGGGTGGGGGCGTTTTGCAGACACCGAGTCCGCCCCCTCCCCGTGAGGACGTGGCCGGGCGTGCAGGAGCCGGGGGACTCGGGGTGTGAAGTGGGCACGAAGTGGGCCTGTGCCCACGCCTGAAGGCGAGTCCTGCTGGAGTCATTTATAGGTACGGGGCTGCTTAATGAGGCGAAGAGCTCTCTTCTCCGGGGCAATTTGCCTAATGCCAAGGAGCAGCGAGGAGGAGCAGGGCTGCTGCGGGGGCGTCCGGGTGATGATGAACTGCTGTCTCCGTGGTGCCGGAGCTGCCGCCCCGCCGGCGGCTGCCAGCGAGGACTCCCCCAGCTGCGGGGCCATGGCGTCGCTCTGGTCCTGCTGCCGGGGGAGGTGGCTGCGAAGAAAGGAATGTTACAAGATGAAGAAACCCGGTGACTTGTGGAATAGCTCTACCCTGAGCAGTAGGCAGCCATGTGATGGGAGAACAATTTATTTTTTCTTGGACTAGCTCACCAGAAGTAGTCCGAGGGTATTCCACTGCAGTGTTGGAAATGTGGGTTTGCTAATAAGGGAAGCATGTTCCCTAGACCAGATGTACCTGTAACGCCTGGTAGTATTAGAGCAGCCAGAATTGACAGCTCAACACCCAACACCAGCTGCTGCCCTGGAGCGGCTTTGTGAGCTTTGAAGAGGATGGCTACAGAGCGAGGCGGGGAAGCAGCCGGATGCGCTGCAGAGACCCAGTTCACTGAAGAGGATCTGTAACACTGACCTTCCAGTTATTTACCTCAGACCACAACTCAGTAAGAGGGCGCTGGCTATATCGTGTTGAGACCAGCAGGGAGGATACCGTGGGAAGACCCCGTGCTGCCAGCCAGGTGGTCACTGATTCTAGGGGCACGCTATTCTTTCAGATGTCCTTTTTCCTCTTCCTCTTTAACTCGCTCAGTCTTTATGAAGCAAGGCTGTTTTGCTACACACTTTTGAACACCAGTTTCTTGTCTTTTTCATGGGTAAAACTATCATTCTTGTTCTGTCTGCGCCTAGGAACAAGTCTCACTTCTCATTAAGTAGGTCTTATGAGGGAGAGGGTATATGTAAATAAATAAGTCTTAATGCACAGTTTTAAAAAAGTTTACTAAAGGAGTCATATATACAACGATAAATACAATCATCACCTTGTACTAAGCTCTCAGATACAATTTTTTGTCTTCAAAGTGCCTTGCAGCTGTTGTCTGAAGCTATGGTTCTTCCATAATACTTGAGTGTGTTCCAATTCTTCAGGTCAAGGCAGCAAAGTTAAATGACTTCTTCACAGCCACAGCTAAGAATTACTGGCAAGAGTCAGGACTAATTTTCTGAACTTCTTGCATACACATCTCAGTAGATGACAGCTTCATGGAGATATCAACTTTATTAATAAAATAATGGTCCGTGTTTAAGTTTTATTTTTATTATGTTTCTCTTGTTCTATAAACAAAGTAATTAATAACATGTATTAAAATCTAGGCATACTTAAAATATTCCAGAGCCACATTTTAAATACAAAAAAGGATTTGCATGTATAGTTTTCAGCATCCTAGGCCCAATACTACTTTAATACACAATCACGGCAGCTCTACAGAGATGGAACACTTCCATCATTACCATGGTCTTCCAGACGGCCATGGATTTCGAGAAGTCTAAGAATAGGCTCAATGTAGGAATGCAAAGGTGGCACACTTTTTTTTTTCCTGTGAGTGCAGTTCTACAAGTTCATTATTACCCGTGTAAAAAAACCTTCATTTAGCAAATAGAAAACTACAAATTGGAAAAAAATAAAAAAAAAATCTGAAAAAAATTATACAAAAGGAAATCACAAAAATATTGCCTTTTAAAAGGCTACACGTGGTCATTTTTAAATGAAAATGCTATACGTTAAGTTCCTAGGAAAAGACCAGCAGTGTTCTTTATCAGGAGCACACCTAAAACGCAAACACACCCAGTGAGCCGTCCCCTGCCACCACCAAGGCTGCTTTTCCCATGCCTGTACCCCTCTAGTGTTAACGCTTTCTCCAATAAAAGCTATAAATAAGTCTGTTTTCTTAAGTTAAAGTAAGTCAATTCTGACCAGAATAGAAACAAAACTCAGTGCATTAAGGCCACAAACCCAACGCCATGCTCCCAAGCCTCCTGGCAGAATTAATCCAGCGCAGTCTGAACATAGAGTCAATCTTCCGTACTGATGTATTTGTGAAGATCAGTCTGTATGTGCAAGTTAACGTCAAGCTGCCAATAACCAAATACATGCAGGAACACTGCCAGCAGCTTGGTGACAGCTCCCGCAAGGACAGGGTGGGGAGGCAGCCCACGCTCTGCAGGTTATTCTCCTGTAGCCCTTGCTAACTTTGCTTACCTTCCTTCCCCTTCCAGGCACCGCACAAAACTGCGCAAGCACTCCACACTTAGACCCGCAAAAACCTCTAGCCACTTTGGACAACACTGCCAATCACACACAAAAACTGCATTTTTTTTTTTACCAGGCAAGCAGACCCACTGTCGGTTTCATGTGTGACCCAAATGACAGGTTGAACTCTGGCCACCAGAAGCAAAAAGGTAACTTTTTGGCCCACCTTGCTCCCCATTTTGCTCATTCTCAAACAGCGAATCTAACCCAGTTCCCAGAATTTCATTTCTCACACCCGGCCAATGAGGGTCATAGTCGTTTACTGCCTCCAGCAGCTGCTGCCCGTAGGACGGGGTGGGAGCGGCAAGCGTCCCTTGATACCCCCCTTCATGTTTTGGAAGTACCAAAGGAGGACTAGCCTGACTAGCCATGGCCAGAGGCGGACTGTGCCTCACCTGCTCGAGCTCAAGCTTAGATTCCCATTCACCACAACTGAAAGTGGAGCCCTTCCCAAAGGGAGAAGTGTTTGACTTGATATACAAGTAGTTCTCATCGCCCAGGCCCTGGTTAGCATTCAAGTAGCTTAAGAGAGGCCTCCTATACACGTTCTCCTTAGCTGCCAGGTACTGGTGATCTTCTATGCAAGGCTGGAAAACATCTGCATCTGGGTAGTAGCTTTCAGGGAACGATTTCTTCAGGTATGGATATTCCTGCGCCTGCTGCACAGGGAGCGAGAGGTGGGGGGCACTGCCCACGCTCCCCGCACCGAGCGGGACCCCTTTTCCCACACAGTCCAAACCGAAGTGAGCTGGGGTCTGACCTGGGGCCCCAAAAGTGTTGTCCAAGCTCCTGAAATGCGTATCGAGCCTCGAGTACGGCTGCCCCCAG